AACCCAGTCCCCCCTCCTAACCCCACCTCCCCCCACCTCCCCCTCTAACCCCTCCCTAAGCCTCCCCCCTCCCTCTTCCTCCTAACCCACCTCCCCTCCTAACCCCACCTCCCCTCTAACCCCACCTCCCCCTCTAACCCCCACCTCTTCCTCCTAACCCCTTTCCCCTCCTAACCCCACCTCCCCCTCCCCTAACCCCACCTCCCCCTCCCTAACCCCACCTCTTCCTCCCTAACCCCACCCTCTTCCTCCTAACCCCACCTCCCCCTCCTAACCCCACCTCCCCTCCCTAACCCCACCTCCCCTCTAACCCCACCTCTTCCTCCCTAACCCCACCTCCCCCTCCTAACCCCTTCCTCTAACCCCACCTCCCCTCCTAACCCCACCTCCCTCCCTCCTTACCCCTCTGTTATCTCCCTCCTTCCCCTAAACCTCCCGCTCCCTAACATCGTCCGCCAGAGACAGAGTTGTTAATATTACTCAGTCAAAAAAGTGAAATGAAGCGAGGGAGCAGGAGAGAAAAACGTAAACCTTGTCAGTAAAGAAAGAGAGAGAGAAAATATATATGCAATGAAGAGAGAGAGAGAGAGAGAGAGACGCTCAAGTCATACTCGACATACCACCACCACATTCTTGACATAACACCACGCACATAACACTCTAGGTTATGACTCGTACAACACCTCGTATATAAGGCCACTTGAAGAAGAGGCGTGTCATGCGTCCATTTATCTCTATGACACCTCGAACTGTCATGAAGCTTGTTGACCGTGTAATGTGGATAGTGGGGAATGTGTTTATCTTGTTATTTAACCATGTAATGAGCTGTATTATGGTGGTGGTTGGGGCAGGTTGTAGAGAGAGAGCGAGCTAACACCGTCTTTATTGACTGTATGATTAAGCTATGGTTGAGCACCCTGTATCACTCGACCACATCCTCACCCGGAAACAGTGTAAGATAGATCATCACCTCCTTGGTAATGTATAGGGTCGGTTTGTGGCCAGTTTGTAACCTCGTGCCAGCTGTCATTACTCATTTCCACCATCAGCTGTGAAGGCATGACACTCACCTGTTATGTTTTTTTGTGGACTGGCTGGTCAACAATTAATCTCTCTTAGTGGCTAGTTTGTTGTGGATTTGTCATCTCGCTCCACCTGTCATTTGTCTCCACCACCACCTGTCATGGCATAGTATCACCTGTCACGATTTTATGACGGTAAAAAAATTCCTTTCCTTTTTGTGATTAGCGATCGAGGAATCTCACAGTTAAGACTTCAAATTCTTCAAGATTGTAACAAAAATAATTCCTCGTAAGTAAATATGCTAGAATGTCCATAACTAGTAACCTGACTTACTAAAACTCAAGAATAAATCTTCGAATGACATTAAAAAAATCACACTCTACCATAACTTAGTGACGTTAACTTTAAACACACACAAAAACAAACTTACAGAATCATAGGACAAAGTTCATGACGAGGAATATTTATCGTAGGAGCTTTTTGAGAGAGAGTCATAGACCTAAGTTACCTAGGAAGAATATTTTGTTTCCTCTTCTTTTCCTTCTCCTCCTCCTCCCCTTCTTAAATCAACTCTATTATGTTCGTCCTGTTTTTTTTATATTGTCAGGTTTGGTTTTGTCACTGTATACGAGTGCAAATGAATATACTGTTCTATGGTTGGTCACTACTGAATAATTACCTACCCTTTGTCTTTTTCTTCTTCTCCTCTTTACTACCCATCCTTCCTTTTCTTTCTATCCCCTCCTATCCCTCTTTTCTCCTCCCCCTCCTCACCCCCTTCCCATCGTCCTCCCTCCTCCCTCCTCCTCTATCATCGCACTAGATATAATTAGTTCTCTCCATCCTAATTTACGTCTACAAAAACATGGCTTGACCAAGGAAGTGAGTATTTTGAGACACACACACACACACACACACACACACACACACACACACACACACACACACACTCTCTCTCTCTCTCTCTCTCTCTCTCTCTCTCTCTGGGTATTCTGACGAGTATACAGCCTGTGTTAAATCTCTAACCTAAATTAACCCACCATAACCCACCATAACCCACCATGCCCTACCCTGTACCCTACCCCACCATGCCCTACCCCACCATGCCCTACCCCACCCCACCATACCCCACCATACCCTACCCCACCCACCATGCCCACCCACCATACCCCACCCCACCATACCTAACCCACCATACCCCTGCACCCACCATACCCTACCCCCACCCCACCATACCCACCATGCCCTGCCCCACCATACCTGCCCACCATGCCCTGCCCCATACCCTGCCCACCATGCCTGCCCACCATGCCCTGCCCACCCACCATGCCCCACCCACCATGCCCCACCCCACCATACCCTGGCCACCATGCCTACCCACCATACCCTGCCCACCATGCCCCACCATACCATACCCCACCATTCCCTACACCACCAGCCTGTACCCCACCATTCCCTACACCACCACACCAGGTGTTGTGTCCTTGTTCAGGTGTATTTGCACCAGGTGTTGTGTCCTTGTTCAGGTGTATTTGTACCAGGTGTTGTGGCATTGTTCAGGTGTATTTGTACCAGGTGTTGTGTCCTTGTTCAGGTGTATTTGTACCAGGTGTTGTGGCATTGTTCAGGTGTATTTGTACCAGGTGTTGTGTCATTGTACATATATTAGGACTTTTATAATAGCGTATCACCTGAAGATTATTCCTTAGCTTATTTCAGCTTGAGATTAACCTAACCTAACCTACCCCCCCCCCCCTAGAGTGTTATATCATCAGGTTAAATAAGCTGGGGGCTAATCTTCAGGTGGACCTTCATGGACATCCAGTGTCGTGAAAGATTGTGTTGTTGACGCAGCTCCTCGGTTGTTATAGGTATGGCGAGTGTTTGAGGGCGATGCTGGAGAGAACGGTTTGTCACTGTTGTATGCTAATTGATCTATTACCAGTTTGCAGTGATAGATATATTTATATGTGAGTTAGAAAGTGGATTGGGGTCCCGGACAACACTGCAGTCGACCGTGTTCACTTCCCCCAGCAGGATGGATCAGGGTTGCCCCGGAAGTGAATCAACAATCCTTAGGAGGATAGACGAGTGCTATATCCTCTCACCTATCGCACCTTACACACCGAGTGATTAGCGAAAAGCAGGTGTTGTTCTCGTGTGCTGAGTAATGGGAGTGTGTGACCGTGGGGGCAAAACTCATACATCTGATGCCTGGTTATAGATTTACATACAGGTTTATATTATACACTACAGTGCTTGTACTACTCACAAGGTTTCCTGAGGCGTGTTGTGGCACACGTATAGTCAGGGTCAAAAGTCTTGTCAACACTCCTGCTGCTCTACGAACCCCAAGATTCAGACTCGTGAACCCGAAGCCTCCGTGGACAGAATAACGCATCAGTGTCTCCCGCTTCGGGTTCACTAGCCTGAATCTTGTTGCTCGTGGAGCAGTAGGAGAGGCGACAGGACTTTTGAGTGACTGTACACATTTCCCTGCTAACAATAGACAAAATGTTTTGCTTGTATAATGAATAATTACCGGTATATATAAACGTACTCAAGGAAATGTTCACCAATAACGGTTCCTTAGTCATGTCCTGCGTTCAAGGGTTAAATCACTTCTACACATCTGGCTACTGACATTATATTAGGTGCTACCATGTCACACGAACTTTTATCGTCACCATGACACAACTGTCATCTGGTGACAGAAAGACGGGCTATGGAGATAGACGAGGGATGCTCGTATGGCGTTCGTGTAGGACCTCTGACTACTTGACGGATTAAATCACCGCCCTTAGACGTCTACGAAAACGATTGAAAGGATTTATGTTGGATATTTTTATCAGTGCTTGTAAAGATACGGGATAAATTATTGTAGATATTACTTTTATACGTCTAAGGAATGTGTTGTTGTCTGAAGACTCTCCAGTATTTTTTAATGGTGGTTTTTGTTGATGTAGAGAGATTGTATTTTAGTGATATTTTATTTATTTACCAACATCGCTGGGCTGGGTGTACTCCAAGTCACGTCTCCTCCCACCCCCCACACATCTTAACAAAAAACACACATGCAGTACATATACCTGTACACACACACACACATACGCACCTAGCGCTCCTCTGGGAGCAGCCAGGTCAATTGTTTAGTTGGCCCATACCAACTCCCTCCCCTGAACCCTCCTCCCCACCGGAATATCAACACGTTATCGCCAGACTCAAGTCCCCTCGGAGTTCCTGCACCCGAGCTCCTCAGTGTTTACTCAACATTCATACTTCCCAAAAGCGCTCAACATACTGACCCTCTCGGCTCTCTGAACCATCTTCGATACCGGCTCCTACTTCCACCCGAGATCCCTCGTCCGCGAATTGCTGTTCGACACCACAACCGCACCCAGCCCATACGAGCACGTACTGATCGCTATAAGAACAGCCCAGTCCCAACCATTGTAAAAATTACCAGCAACTCGTCGTCAACCAGTGTATTCACTCCCAGCCAATCTTACTTTTGCACTGCCACCATGTTGAAATGCCCTGTAGTGTAGTATGACCTTCTCCCCACCTAGTTATTATAAATCATATTTGTATCACTTATGTTACTTGTATATTATTTGTCAATCAAGAGACCCATTCCTCAATTATGTAACTGTATATTTTCCGCCTTCCGGTTGCCATGCTCTTTCAGTAAACCGTTATTATGAATTATTATTATTATAAAACACACACACACACACACACACACAGAAGGAGTCAATCGGAGTTGAAAGTAACAATGATTTGTGGGAATGTAAGAAATTGATACACTTCAGGTCTCAGACCTGAGGGAGATACTTGCCAAAGGGCTCTAGATGGCAGAGATACAGTGATGGTGGAGGGGGGAGTCGTGTGGGGGCGCGGGACAATAGACGGCGTGGCTGATGGGTCGGGCGCGGGCCCCGGGGGAGCGTGGGAGGGGGAGGTCCGCGCCCCCCGCTGGGTGTCCTGGCCAGCCGTCCCAGTGTCATCCCCGCCGCTCTTGCTGCAGGGCCTCACTGTCGCCCCACCTGGTGCCACCTTCTGAGCGGCACCCCGGCTACCTACCAGTGCCATCTCAGCGTTGTATTACCCGGCGTGTGGCTGCTTTCGTGAGATATTGTCAAGACATCGTCGAGTCGAAAGTAGAACGAGGAAACAAGACCTTTAAAAACTAAGACACAAGTTATGCAGTCTCTCATAACTTGTGTGTATGTCAGGATTAACACCTGAACATCGTTGTTATTTGTATTATTAGTTTATATTTCCTAAGTGGTAAAGAGTTGTTAGATACTTAGATCTGGCGACAGTGATCACAGTAACAGTTGTCTCTCGTGTGAAGCGTTACGAGTATCAGTTTCTAGAAAGTGGCTCGATATCACGACCTCTTCCTCCCTGAACCTCGTCGTACCTGATGCTCCTGTACTGTAGATAAACCTGACGTGATGATTCGGGTTGTGACTGGTCACGCCGCCTTCACTCTGACTTATTTACACCGTATGTGGGGCATACAGTGGAAGAGAGGCATGTTCGGCATCGTCTAGCCTCGTCCCAGCAGGTGTTACTGGAGAGGAACTGGTCGCATTGTGGCTCTCTTAAGGTAGAGTCTCCCGGTGTGTGTGTTTGTATCAAGCGTGACCCCCAAGACATGTGTGTTGTGAACCCGTCGCCTCCCTGTAAGTGTACACAAATACAGTAGTGATTTGCACTAAACATGTTATTAGAAAGAAAATATGTTGACGATAGTAACTGACAGAGTTGTCATCCTCAGCCCTGTAAAAAAGATAATCATCCAGGATTGGCTACTTCTGTCAGGGTATTAGTGTTCCCGACGTGAGAGGATAATCAAGGTGTTGAAGTTATAACTCAGGAGGAGGGATACGCGGTCGTCCGCGGCACCCTAGCCGATCACCCATTGTAAGGCGACGTCGGTGTTAATGGCACAGAAAACACTACAGAAGTGAGCAAGAATTAGCTGTTCACAAACAAGGATAGTGAGTGTAGCAAATGATAGAGGTGGCACTAAATGTTTCAAGGGGTGGGAAGGTCTAGTGCCACTCAGGAGTCACTGTGTGTAAAGTGCCGCTCGCTCTCCCCGCCACCCACGCCTGCCACGCGCGCCGCCTGAACAATCCTCTTAACTTTACCTCTCACCGTTTCTTTCACGGAAATAACAAAATTGTTAGAGGATTGTCATAAAGACTGTGGACATTTATAGCGAGTATAGTCGTGAAGAGTGAACTAGTGACCTCGTCGTAACGCAAAGAAAATCTCAGGTCTTGAAAAAGAATTCTAAGCGAATTTCTTCAGGACAGTAGATTGTGCAGCAACGTGATGGTGATGAGGTGACAGCATGAGCTATCGTCGGGATATACCGGAGTGTGTGCGTGTCTCTGACTGCTCACCGCCTCACTAAGCGGCGCCCCATTGTTCTAGTAGAGTTTTGGTGACCACGACGGTAGTCACCTGTCCTCTGCCAAGCCTTTACGTTCTTGTCGCTCCCGGCATCCAGTTACCGTAGTGAACACACCGCTGCTAGCAAACGTGGCGAGTGTGGTCAAGCGTGGTGGTGATGGGCGGGACGAGGTGATGGTGATGACCACGAACATACCTGTCGTGGAGGGGGCCGCCACCCCCTCCGTATCACCTCCCGCCTCCCTCACCGCTTCTTCTACCGATCCACTGAGCGAAGAGGCGCTCACAGACGAGTCTCTCAGAGAGGCGCTGTTCACCAACTATGAAAACCTTCAAGACACACTGGCTGAAGCGCCGCTGCTGAAGGGCTGCGAAGACGAGCCCTCAATGATCGGTTCCCATGGCCTCCCCTTACTTAACCTCTCGCCCTCTGCCTCCCTGGCCGCCAGTCCCGGCTCACCCCCACCTTCACTGGAGGCGTCGCTGCTCCCTACGCCTCCCACCAGCCCCGTCAGTATTCATATTTTTGATTCCGACGAAGAGTCGCCATGCGGAGACATCACGATGCCCCTCAAGTTCGACAGCAGCGAATTTACCTGGAGACGGTCAGTGGAGGAGTCCGAGTCCCGGCTGACGCCTCCACGGGTCATCCCAACCATCGACTACCTGCAGGTGCCGCCTCACCACCGCGCTAAGCTCAGGAAAGGCAGGCGACTCTCCTTCAGCAAGGCCTCTGACTATGCTTTGCCTTCTACATTGTCACTGTCACGGCGTTCCTCGGCGATACCCACAGTACCGGAGGTCCCCGTCATCACCCCGGAGCCAACCAGTGAGTTGTCGGAAGATGACCTGGTCAAGGAACCCTTACAGGTCAACGGGGGTGTCCAGCAGGTCCCCACTGGCCCTCTGGAGGAGACTGTGAATAACCTGAGCGCCGCCAACTGTGTCATAAAGATCCCCAAGAAACACAGGAAGCCGTCCCTCTCCCAGATTGACATTCCCTGTTACCACCGCCGGCCCTCTGGTCAGGCTCTAGACGTCAACTTCGACTACACCTTCACCGTGGTAAGTCGTGGTGATCGGCGCTGGCCGATAGTTCTCACTGTGTGTTGAGATGTAACCGACCTGTTCGGGCCCACATGGACTTTCAGAGGTCACCCAGAGTCTTCTAATAACTAATAATTTTCTAGTTGTCCAGACGGCTGTAAGAGCCTAATAAGAGGCCCTCAGATGATTAGGACACTTGAATTTGGTTGGCTTAGGCCTAGAATAGACACTATATAATTTTGTCCAACATCAGACAAAGGTTCAGGGTCATTGATCGCTGATGAAGGTCCTCCCACTGATCCCGGTCCTGTACGCGGCCTGAGCGGGTGTGTCGACCGTGGCGGGATCACATTTTATAGTATGGAGAACTGCAGAAAGTTCACAATCCTTTGTTATGATCAGATTTGTGCAAAGATTTCAAAGCTGGTTTGTTGTTAGTGACCCTTTATTATTATTATTATTATTATTATTATTATTATTATTATTATTATTATTATTTACACAATTAATTATAATACTAAGGGGTGCAGCGGCTGAGTGGACACAGTATTCAAAATGAGGTCGCTGTTTCATGCCCGAGACTCCCGTAGTCCACCCAGCTGTGAATGGGTACCTAAATACAACTGTAATTCGGGATGTCGAAGCCGTCTGTTGAAGTACCTGTCTAGCTGTCTCCTTGTCTGCCAGAGGATAAATATTCAGTGTTGTTAGGCCTGTGGGACTTACTAATACGGTATACAGTAGATCGTCCGGGAGCCTCATCATGCTGTAAATACCTGGTGATCGTTATTCACCCAAGGACAAGATGGCACCTCGGTACACTTGCTTGTAAAAAGATGCAATGATGGACAACAGGGCACCACACGCTTAAGTCCCAGGTTGCTAATCTGACTTTCTTCCTCATTTACACACAATTGAAGGGTCTAAATATTATCTCTTTCTTAACAGTAAAACTTATGCATCATTTCTCACTCTTGATTTTATTTTTTTTTCATTTTCTATTTTTTTTTCGTTCCCCCGGTGAGGGTCGGTAACCTGTGCCTGGCTGGACTAATCCCCGAAAATAATAACAGGGTGAAGATGTGAGAACGTCTAAAATGGCATCAAAATTACACTGAGACTCAACCTTTATCTAAATATACAATATTCACTTAGCACAAGTTAGGAGACAAAATAATTGTATAGGGTCTTGTTAGCCTGGGTTCATTTTTACGTTTGGTTAGAATAGGTTAGACTACTGTAAGTTATATTCGTTAGGTTGGGTTAGAATAAGTTGGGCTAGGATAGGGTAAGGTAGGTTAGGTTAGGTTAGGTATACAGTAGTGGGTTAGGAGCGATCAGTACCGTCCCCAAGTCGATCACTCACAGGCGACGGACCATTCACCGCCCAGGTGGACCAAAGGATACATAAGTAAAAAAACAAAAAAAATATCATCAAATTTTTGGACTTTTCTTTAAATTCATAAAATCACTAATTTACATTTTTTTTCTACGTCATTAAACACTTTGTTCTAACATCAAGAGATTAAATGGTGAACCTAAGTATCTGAGATCTACAAATCAAGGCGACGCAACCTAGAACTTCATATCTATCTATCTATCTATTGTTATGCTGTAGCGTATGTGAGTCAGTTCTAAGATGTTGCAACTCTATTGTTTTATATCGTAACTTAACAGTCTAATATAAAGTTAACATATCTATCATGGAGTAGAAAACCAATAGGAACCTTTAAAGTTTTGTTTCGTGGAGTCAGTCATATGCCTTGCCATATAATATCGGTTTACGGGTTAAGATTTTTAAATGCGGATCTCTTAGAATCCGGTATACGGAACACCACGTCCTCCTTCTTTAAACCTAGATCTAAATATCCGGAAATAGAAACTCGGGTCCAAATATCCGAAATGGGAGATTCTGTCAGCCTCGGTAACCAGAAAGATGTGGTTTCTGTCCTCCAAGTTAACAGGTGTGATTTCTGTCCTCCAAGTTTACAGGTGTGGTTTCTGTCCTCCAAGTTAACAGGTGTGATTTCTGTCCTCCAAGATAACAGGTGAGGTTTCAAGATGTGAATAATTACATACCTGAAACTTAATTAACCCGGTACACAAAGCACCTCCATATGGGTTCCATCCAGGTGCTTAGTAATAATCTCGACCTCAGGGACTGTGATTACCCATACTGACTGACTTGAGTGCGTGGTAGACTGAAGGAGTAGATGTTGCCCATCCAATCCACCAGATCTGGTTTTAAACTATGAGAAATTATCTTTATCTTAGACCGTGTTGTGTGTGTGTGTGAAGAGAAGGTTCATGGTTCATTTTCACTGATCTTCCTTGCATCTTACCCGGCTGTTGTCCTCTACCACGACCACTACCCCCTCTGCCGACCCACCACTCCCTCTACCACGACCCCTGCACCCCTTCTACCACGACCCACTACACTCCCTCTACCACGACCCACTACTCCCTCTACCACGACCCTACCTCCACCACCCTACCTCCCTCTACCACGACCCACCACCCCCCTCTGCCACGACTCTTTCACCCCTCACCACGACCCACTACACCTCTACCCGGCCACTACCTCCCTCTGACCCCTACACCCCTCTACACGACCCCACTACACTCCCTCTACCTGACCCCACTACACCTCTACCCGACCCCACTACACCCCCTCTACCACGACCCACTACACTCCCTCTACCACGACCCACACCCCTCCCACCACGACCCTACACCCCCTCTACCGACCACTACACCCCCCTCTACCCGACCCTACCTCCCTCTACCACGACCACTACACTCCCTCTACCACGACCTACACCCCCCCTCTACCACGACCCACTACACCCCCTCTACCTGCTACCCCTCTACCACGACCCCTCCTACCCGACCCACTACCCTCTGCCACGACCCACTACACTCCCTCTGCGACCCACCTAACCCCTCTACCACGACCCACTACACTCCTCTACCACGACCTGCTACACCCCCTTTACCCGGCCCACTACCTTCCACCACGACCCTGCCCCTCTACCGACCCCACTACACTCCCTCTCACCACGACCTACACCCCTCTACCACGACCCACTACACCCCTCTACCCGACCCACTACACCCCTCTACGACCCACTGCACCCCCTACCGGCCACTACCTCCCTCTGCCGACCCACTAAGCCCCCTCTACCACGACCCAATACACCCCTCTACCGACCACTACCTCCCGTCCACCACGACCCACTACACCCTCTCTACGACCCTACACCCCTTCTACCCGACCCACTACACCCCCTTCTACACGACCCTACACCCCCTTCTACGACCCTTTCACCCCGTCCACCGACCCACTACCTCTCTGCGACTAGCCACCCCTCTACCGACCCACTACCTCCCGTCCACCGACCCACTACCCCTCTCTACCACGACCCCACCTACACCCTCTCTACGACCCACTACACCCCTTCTACCACGACCCCACCACCTTCTACGACCACTACACCCCTTCTACCCGACCCAATACACCCCTCTACGACCCTACACCTCTCTACCACGACCCACTACACCCTCTCTACCTGACCCACACCACCCTCTCTACCACGACCCACTACACCCCTTCTACCCACGACCCACTACCCCCCTCTACCACGACCCTACCCCCCTCTACCACGACCCACACCCCTCTACCACGACCCACCACCCCTCTACCACGACCCACTACACCCTCTCTACCCCTACACCCCTCTACCACGACCCTACACCCCTCTACCGACCCACTACACTCCCGTCCACCACGACCCACTACACCCTCTCTACCACGACCCACTACACCCCCTTCTACCACGACCCACTACACCCCTTCTACCACGACCCACTACACCCCTTCTACCACGAGGTGTCTATTCCTTCAGGTAAAATAAGCCAGAGGTGCGTAATCTTCATATGGTCTGTGCATGGTTGTCAGTGGTCACGGGACTTTCAGAACGAGAGGAAGGGCTTATGGAAACTCGTCGTATAAAAATGACATATATTCCACTATTAACATTCACAGAGCAAGTTTTCATGTCCAAATATCTCCAATTACTTCACACACAACTCGGCGGCTATCTTGTACCCCACGTCGGCGTGTATGTACCAGGCCTGGAGTTCCTGGTTCTCCGTGCTGTCCGGTTCAGTCGGTGGCTCACGCTGCTCTGCCGTGACCACCACCACCACACGAATATGGCTCGGTGGCCAACTAATCCTAATACAACACATTAAAAGCTTTACACCTCTTACATAATGTTTTAACAACCAAAACTAAATAATACTGATATAAAAAACATCGTAAATCAAGCCATTAGAATACTCATATAAGCATACAGGCCGTGAACCACCCTCATTGACATTGGTCGTTCTCGGGTGTCACCTAGTTAGCCAGTCATAGACAGCGGTGTGGGCCGACATGTGACAATGGTATATTCAGTCTAAACTTGCTGTAAGATTTAGCTAATATAGACATACTGCAGCGTACTACTATACAGAGAATGGTTATACTATGGACCCACACCGAGGCTCTGTACGGCCCATGAATTAATGTCTGACTTAATACGGAAGTGGAGAAGTTTGTCTCTCCCGATAAGCTTAATACAACGATGATACGGCGGGTGTGAGAGGTCACGGTAGTCTTGGAGCAAGAGGTCACGGGAGTCTTGGAGCAAGAGGTCACGGTAGTCTTGGAGCAAGAGGTCACGGGAGTCTTGGAGCAAGAGGTCACGGTAGTCTTGGAGCAAGAGGTCACGGTAGTCTTGGAGCAAGAGGTCACGGTAGTCTTGGAGCAAGAGGTCACGTTAGTCTTGGAGCAAGAGGTCACGGGAGTCTTGGAGCAAGAGGTCACGGTAGTCTTGGAGCAAGAGGTCACGGTAGTCTTGGAGCAATATAACCACCATTATTGACCTTCATATTTGTGCCCCTACCTACCTAACACTTACTGGGTCACGGGTGTTGGTAGAGGTCAGCTAAAAGAGGGTCGTGATTGGTAATGG